GGCATAACTTTGCATTGTCCTTTTTAGATCATCGCAAATGCCCGTATTGATAAAAGGAATTCCTAGGAGCAATGTTCTGTAGCAAAAGATTTATTTTTGTCGGTATACTAGGATATTGTATGCTATAAGAATCTCTCCATAGCCCCAAAAAAACGTATTGCTCAGTCCGATTTTTTTCATTGCAATAGTAATTCTGCTTGCGCAGTATCCTTCATTTATTTCTTTTATTCGTTTGCGCTCTGCTGCTGGCCCTCCATGTGTCTCTCGTCATGTGACCCGCTGCCCCTGTCTTGGCAACAACCTTTGCCCTAATCCTCCCCTTGAGCTTTAACCACGAGCAGCCAAACCAAAGGCCTCATTGTTCTGGACTATTCCAACATTAACCTACATTCAGCTGCAGCGCCTAAGACTGCCCCCTCCCTTCTCCTTCTGTCAATGCTCTCTGCAGAGCAAAGATGGTGTTGGGCATGATTTGCTCAAACAGGAGAAGTTAACCCTTTACTTACTTTGAGACTTGAGACCAACTAATTTCAGCATGGTCATTGCGATAATTTGAAGGGTAGGATTTTATTTGGGCTGAATACATTATTGCTCTTTAATATGTGACAATAAAGACGTGAATAAGGTTTGCAATATGGGATAGTGGTCTCAAAGATTGATGTAATCCTATTTTGATATTTTTCTTTCCCGAATCAATTACGGCAATTTTCTAGATTTTACTGAATGTTCTTTGCACACTACACAAACACATAATGTATGTTGTCATTTGACCATTGTCTCAGATTACTGGTCCTAGAGATTGAGGGATTTTCAGGGAGACCGAGTGGCTGCAAACAACGGAGACGATGCAAAAGTAATTGGCCTTTTGTTTACACGGCAACTGTGTTTCAGGGGTGTGAAGCGTTGAGAACATACCTCCTGAGTGGAACAAAACAGATACGCTTCGTGGCAGGGGGCCGTGTGAACTCTGACCGCGGTGACCTCACTGCTTCCCCGCGCGTAAATTTGGACTTGCACAGTAGTCGAGAACAAATGTAAACAATGGCAGGTGCGGGATGAATGCAACACACGCGATAAGCTACAAGTGTCAAAGACAGGCATGGGAACAGTGCAAAAGAAACAACTGTACAGTATGTTTGGAATATCCAACCAAAACTCTAGTCCACAGCCTCCTTGCATATCAGGCTTGTGAGCCATGAGTCCAAACTGCTTTTCCTTGGGTTCCTTTAAAGCAATGTGAACTGAAGTGCCTTGTCCATGTTCTCTGCAGCCGTTCCATGCTTCCATCCAAAATGTAATCACACAACGGCCAAGCACAACGCACATTCGGCTGCGTAGTTAAAAAAATTCGAGGGTGTTTGTGCCCGCCTTGACTCTTCTTAAAGCTGGACTAACTCACTTTGAGAGAAGGGATTGCAGGAGTGCTGCACTGGATCAAACAATAGTAAAAACACTTACAGGTACTCATCCAACTCGTGGGTTAGAGAAAACGGTTTGCAATAAAAGAAATGGAGAAGGAGGCACTCTGAAAACTGTTCTTTATAATAATGAACCGACGCGTTTCGACAAAAGTCTTCGTCAGGGCAGTGAGTGTCGTAGCTGACACTGTGCTGATTTTAAGGCGTCATCGGAACACCACGTGACCATGCAATATTTACAAAATACATAAATAAATAAAATGACTTAAATTAAATACCAGAGCAACAAAATAAGTCAGAAGTTTGTTTATCAATGACAACATACCCTCCTAACCCAAAACAGGTAAACAAAAAGGATAACTGTTATGAATAGGTGAGATTGTTATCAACCGGGGGGCAGGCATTCTAACGGGTTTTGGGCTTGAAATTTATTCCGGCCCATGGGAGTCGTGTGTTGAATTGTGTACTTTGATGTGAGTGGTTGAAGGAACACGTCATTCAAGAAAACAGACAAGTGGTTTATCCAATCACATACACGGATTATTTTCTTTTTTTACAATGCCCCGCCTTTTGAAATTTATCCGCTATGGATTAGACCCAGACCCTTGTGAGTTAGAAGGCTGGTCCTTCCTCAAGTGGAGGAGTTCTCCTCTTGGGGTCTTGTTCACGAGTGAGGGAAGGATGGAGCGTGAGATTGACAGGCGGATCGGTGCAGCGTGCGCAGTGATGCGGTCGCTGTATCGGACCGTCGTGGCGAAGAGGGAGCTGAGCCGAAAGGCAAAGCTCTCAATTTACCGGTCAATCATCGTTCCCTCCCTCACCTATGGTCATGAGCTGTGGGTAATGACCGAAAGAACGAGATCGCGGATACAAGCGGTCGAAATGAGCTTCCTCCGCAGAGTGGCTGGGCGCTCCCTTAGAGATAGGGTGAGGAGCTCGGTCACACGGGAGGAGCTCGGAGTAGAGCCGCTGCTTCTCCACGTCGAGAGGAACCAGTTGAGGTGGCTCGGGCATCTGTTCCGGATGCCTCCTGGACGCCTCCCTGGGGAGGTGTTCCGGGCACGTCCCACCGGGAGGAGGCCCCGGGGAAGACCCAGGACACGCTGGAGGGAGATGTCTCTCAGCTGGCCTGGGAACGCCTTGGGTTCCCCCCGGACGAGCTGGAGGAAGTGTGTGTGGAAAGGGAAGTCTGGGCGTCTCTGCTTAGACTGCTGCCCCCGCGACCTGGCAACGGATGAAGCGGAAGAAAATGGATGGATGGATGTTTTATGTGTAGAATTTTAAGGGAAAAAATGAATTTAATCCATTTTGGAATAAGGCTGTAACATGACAAAAAAAACATGTGGAAAAATTGAAGCGCTGTGAATACTTTTCGCATCCACTGTACATGGTTAGACTTCCGTGGAGGAGACAGCAGAAGGCAGCCATGTTCCCACGGCAATCTACTTTATTCAATGAAACACAAGCCCTAAACACACTTACAGACAGTCGGAGAAAGTACAGTTTCAAAGGGAAGCCCTCCGTATTTACATGCAAACAGTCAAACATATGCATACGGGACACAGGAAGCAAGGTAACAAAAACAGGCATTAGGTCCATGGGGATGGTGGGTCTGATGTTCAGAAGTTCCTCATGGGTGTTGGAGCGGGCAGAGGTTCTATTAAAGCAGAGAAATAAGAAAAAGAGAGCGCACCGAAGAGCTGAGGCGACCATGCGAGGCGCCATCTTGATATATATTTTGAATATTTAAATTAATATACTAACCATCTTTGAATATGATTTTTGTGCAAGAGTCAAAGCCCTAGTATTAAGAGAAATGTTTTCCATGTGTGTTTGTGTGTGGCATTTTATAAGTTTTACTTTGTTCTTCAATAGACTCACGATATGCACTGTACGCATCACGGACACTGCAGCCTTCCTTCTTACTTGTGTTAAACATCTTGTCGGTGGGCCGTCTTATGCACATGTGTTCTTGGAGAGGCGTGGATGTAGTGTGCGTTTATTCTTAGCCTGCTCTTCCCTCCACTCTGCACTGCAGTGGCTCAGGTTACTGTACTGCATGTGCTCTCCAGCTACGACTTACAACACTCGCAATCCCAGTTCTTTATTCCTTGCTCAGTCTTTGTATGTGCCTTACTTTCTCTCTCCTCAAACCACCATCTTCACAACCAAACACGAAAAGGAGCTTGGCCAGCATTTGAAGCCAAAAAATCAGCCGTACTTCAGTCTCTTAACTGTAGTTCTTGAAAAAAAGCACTTTTGTCTTCAAATTTAAGGAAAGGCACGTTTTTGTTTGTATAGCACTGAGGTTATCAAAATAAGAAAAACATTAAAGCCACACAAGGCATTAAAATCATCAGTGCATTAAAAAGAGTGAAGAAATGTTTTCTTGGTGTTGTTTTTCTAACAGTGACCTATAACACGGCCCGTCGCAAGGGGGGTGCGAGGCCCTGTGCAAACTCGAAACGTGAGGCCCTGCCCTGACACTTTTTTCGCAGATCTGAGAAAAGTTTTTCCTATTATAATCTTTGACAAGCACACACACACACTACGGCGCTTGGCATTGCGATATTGGTCACGGTCTTTTTAGCTGACCTGGCTCTTTCGTCCTGTGGCAAAACGCAGAGCAACTCAAAAGATTGAACCAAAAGGAGTCTTTTTCTTGTTATAGTTAGATTAGTCCTGTTTTGGCTGCATTTTGTATTTTTGAGTCATTTAATTCTGCTCGCTAGACCGCTAATGTTCCTGTGACCACTTTGAGGCTCTCTGACCCAAGAAAAAGAGAGAGAGAGAGAGACAGGGAAAACAAACAAGCATGCAAATGGCATTTATCGCGGCCAGAAAAATTATTAATTGAGCTAATTTTAATTATGATGATTAAAATTCAATCAATCATGTGATTGATTGATTTATTGAATATCGCGACAGGCTGTTGGTAGAGCATTGGCCTTTGGGCCCAAAGATCGTGGGTTCGAGCCCACCACGGGACCTTCTCCACCGGCTCCCACTGTTGCCTGCTGTCGTTGTGTCCCTGGGCAAGACACTTAACCCACTTAGCCTATAAGGAGCGCGGATATGATGTTCGCTGCATGCCTTGATGTGTATGTGTATATGTATACTATATGTGTATGCATCAAACTGAAATTTCCCCATTGTGGGACGAATAGAGGACCTTCTTCTTTTTAGCTGTGAGGCACAATTGTAATGTTGTGCGTTTGTCCCTATGGCACTGAGAAGCACAGGGACTGGCCTCCTGCTTGACCCCAGATTAAACAACAACACACCAAGGACGAAACCAGGGCTGACAATCTGAGTCACAGTGCTTGTGAACAGTTTCCCCCCAGCCTGAGTTCTTATTCTCCCGTGACTGTATTGTATACAGTCTTCGAACGTGTTCGCAGATTCAGAAGTACTGGTTTATAATATATAGTTCATATTCCAGCTACATTTGGACTGTTGTTCGTTTTCACTGTGCAAGACTTTCCTCGTTCAGTCTCCCTGTATGAGTGACAGTAACCTCTGTTGCAGGTGCATGATGGTCCGGCAGAGCGTGTGCAGTGACAGCTAGTCTGCAGGAGGACCATGGCCAAACCCGGGAGTGACCGTGATGGAGCCATGGTGGACAAGCCGTCTGCGGGCAAGAAGGTGAGGGAGAACCATAGATTAATTGTATTAGGGGGATTGGGTATTGCTGCTTAAACCTATTTCCACATAGACAAATGGCCATCTGCGGCTCTGAAGGTTATCATATAAGAATTACACATTACATTAATATCACTTTGAGAGTAGTACAGTAGTTGATTTTAGATCAACATTTATTTAATGGATGCAAATTGGCCTCTTACAAAACTTGATTTGTCAATAATTGACATTATAATTCATGACTCACTATTTATTCTCTGAACATTTTCAGAGAATGGTCAACAGACGGTCGTTCAATATAAATTATGTGTGTGTTCTCCTTCTGTGACAAAGTAATCTATTGACAACTTAAATTAAGAGAAAAAATGTTAACAGCTTGTGAGGCTTGAAGCATTCAAGCTCTTTTGTTTTGGACATGTGTCTCTGCTTACAACTGGAGGAGAAGGTCAGTGTTCAGTAGCTTCAAACATTGAAGTGGTTTTAGCCTCATAAAAACAACACTGTCTTTCTCGACTATTCTGAGCCATATCTTTCCCACAAGAAACCACACCACACTGCACTTCCATCCATCCATCTTCTTCCCCTTGATCCATTTCTGGGTCAGGGGGGTGGCAGTCAGAGCTGCTCCGAGTTAGGCCTGTCACGATTACAATATTTGCTGGACGATTAATTGTCTCAGATAGTATTGTTGTTCTGAGATCATTTTCATCTAATACAATGATAATGATGCAGGTACACCTTTTCAAAGAGAAATACACTTTTATTTTTAAAGACCACCGCCGGAAGTGACGGAAGTAAAAAGCCGCTAGCTTGATGCTAACGTGCTAGCGGCTTTTTGTGTAAAGTTCTTGCCAATAATGCAGCTCTGCAGCGTCTCTTTGTCCGGAGACTTTAGAGAGACTTTATGTAACAGCAGTATGTGTTGACGGAGGTGCGTCATAAGTTTCTTATTATTAAACGGTACTTTCGCATCGGCGAACACACTAGCTAGCTAGTTAGCTAACTGCGCTAGTTTAGTCACTACTAGAGCCTGAGTGAGAACAACTACTGTGTCCCCCGTTGTCAATCCTGGTTAAGTCCTGGTTAGGTCCCGTTTTGACTGTATTTTGTATTTTTGAGTTGTTACAGTCTGCTTGCGTGACCACTTTGCGGCTCTCTGACCCGAGAGGGTGAGAGAGACGGGAAAACAAACAAGCTGCAAATGGAATTCATCGCGGCCAGGAAAACTATCGAGCTAATTTTAATTATCATGCAATTGTTGTTTTTTTTTTATTTTTTTATTTCAACTTAAAACCATACATGAAAGGACAGGACAACATACATCAACAAGGCACAAAAAGCAAAACAAAAGCAAATACACCTTCAAACAAAACACACACACACCACACCACACCACACCACACCACACACACACACCCATACACACCCATACCACATTCTATGGAATGTACATGTTCCTCAGAACTCAAATCAGGGGAATGCAGTAAGCAAATATTGAAAAATGACTAAACAATACAAACTAGAAAATATGAATGAATACATTTTACAGAAAAAGGAGAAAAAGATAATCATAATTTTAAAAAAAAGAGCAAAAAAAACATTCAGACTACATTTTGAAATATGTTAGACAAGGGGGGGGGGGCTAAATAGCTATATCAATAATAATAACAGAAAAAATTATTTTTTTTAAATTGTCATACACTTTTATCTTCAGATGTAATACATTTCATATAAAGAAAAAAGATAAATAAAAAAATAAAATAACATAAAAACAGTATTACTATCCAGTAGATATCCACTCTATCAATCTGGACCACCGTTTTTCATGAATATTTTTTTCTTTTTCAGATTTTAACATACACCCCTCAACTTTGTAATAATATTCAATATACCGCAAAAAACTTAACATGTTTAGTGAAGCCGTATTTTTGGTTTTAAAAATACATTTCTTACCTAAAAGAATAATTAGGTTAATTAATTGCTTCCATTTTGATTCTCCAAGAAACCCCAACACCACCGAAGGCAGGCCTAACTGACATTTTATATTCATGTCTTTGAATATTTGCTGTACTGCTTCCCAAAAGGCCGCCACCACATGGCAGTACCAAAATAAATGGTCAATAGATTCTGTTTCACTTAAACAAAAACGGCATTTGTCGGATTCAGCAAGACCCCAGATTTTAAGCATTTTATTTGTAGGTTAAAAATTATATATAATTTTTATTTGAAAAAATCTGCTGTGCGCGTCCACCACAGTTTGATATATTGTACTGAAAACCATCTTCCAGTAAATTGGTTGATCTAACAGATCTTCCCATTTTTTAAAAGTTCTATATGGCCAGGCTATCGCTAATTTTGATGGAGATAAAACATATTTATACTTCTATTTATCTTATTTCCTTTCGACCACCTATAGTTCCGTAACACAGGCCGACAAACTAATAACTTGCTACATTCACTATTAATTTAAATTTTCCAATTTCTCTTCAGGGCAGAGAGCAGCTGATTATATGAATGAGTGGAGCAGACATCTCCATAGGTACTAATAAGTTGATCATATTGCATTAACTTCCCATTTTCCCCTATGATATCGTTTATAAAAACAACTCCCCTTTTGATTGCATTTTCCCAAAGTATGGGTTTCCCTTCAATCAGTATATTTGAGTTTAACCAGATTATTTGTTGTAAAATTTCATCACGCTTATTTGGAGAGTTGAATTGAAAACACAACCAACACTCAAGAGTTTCTTTTAAAAACATTGATCCATCTTTTATAAGATCTATTACATTAGACATATGAGCTTTCTCTAGCTGCAGATACATGAAAAGTCCAGTTAAAAATATCACATGATTTTGTTCCAATAAAACACTTGTATACCAATTAGGGTTTTCGTGTATTTTTTGAACAAGAGAGGCTTTTAAAGCGAAACAAAATGCTTCTAGGTTTAGTAATTTAAAGCCCCCTACTTCATAATTATTGTAAAAAATATCCCTCTTTATCTTTTCAGGTTTACCGTTCCAGATACATTCAAATATTTTTTGTTCATATAATTTAAAAAAGCTTCTGGATGGAGAGGGAAGTGACATAAATAAATAAACGAATTGGGGCACTATTAAGGAATTTATCAATGCTACCTTCCCATACAAGGTTAATGATGCACCCTTCCATGGTTGTAGTATCTTTTCAATTTTTTTTAGTTTTGTTTCATAATTCACTTTGAGATCTTTCAAACTTTCTGGTATTTCGATCCCTAGAATATTGACTAGACCATTTGTCCAATCTATTGACAGATTACTCTGTATTTTGAAATTTGTTTTTTTGAGGCTCCCAATTCTAAGAACTTTACATTTATTGTAATTCAATTTTAAGCCAGAATAATTGGAGAATTCTTCCAAAAGATCCAATAAACTGAAGAGACAAGAGTTTTTTGGTCTTATTAAAAAGCAGGTGTCATCTGCATACATAGAGATTTTTGACTCAACCTTACCAATTTTTAACCCTTCAATTTCTTCATTTAATCTTACTTTTATGGCCATTAATTCCATGGCTATTATAAATAAGTAGGGTGACAAGGGACATCCTTGTTTCACTCCTCTTACTATTGTCACTGGATTGGAAATATGGCCGTTGTTAATTATTTTACATCTTGTTTTATTGTACAAAACTTTTACCCATTTGATGAGTGAATCACCAAAATTAAAAAATTCCAGACATTTAAAAAGAATATTTAAATTTATCTTATCAAAAGCCTTTTCCAGGTCAGCAATAAAAATTATTCCTTTTTCATTATACGTTTCGTAATTTTCAATTATCTCTAATAATTGTCTGATGTTATTCCCAATAGAGCGACCTTTTAAGAAACCTGACTGATCATAATGTATAATACTTGGCAAGACACATTTTAGCCTTTGCGCAATGCATTTTGCAAGGATTTTTATGTCATAGCATTAAAGTGTAATTGGCCTCCAGTTTTTTATCATTTCTGGGTTTTTATACTGGCCACCAGCCTCCTGTTTCAAAAGCAGTGAGATGATTCCTTCCCTTATCATGCGATTAATTTATTTATTGAATATCGCGACAGGCCTACTCCTAGTACACATAGCACCAGCCCCTCACTGATCCTCCTGCAGGTGGTGAGTCCACAGGAGCCTTGATCTTTCAGCAGGGGCTTCAGGCAAAGGACACAACGACAGCAGTCATCAGTGGGAGTTGTGAAGGAGGTCTTGTGGTGGGCTCGAACCCTCAACCTTCAGGCTCAAAGGCCAATGCTCTACCAACTGAGCCAGTACCACTGATATTTTTCCTGTATTTATCTATATAATATGACTAGCTACATTTCAAACGAAATACATATTAAATACAATGCATCCGGAAAGTATTCACAATGCTTCACTTTTTCCACAACCTTATTCCAAAATTGATTCATTTTTTTCCTCACAATTCTACATACAACACCACATAATGACAACATGAAAAATGTTTTTTTGAGATTCTTGCAAATTTATTAAAAATAAAAAAAACTAAGAAACCACATGTACAGTACATAAGTATTCACAGCCTGTGCTTAATACTTTGGTTGATGCACCTTTTGCAGCAATTACAGCCTCAAGTCTTTTTGAATATGATGCCACAAGCTTGCCACACCTGTCTTTGGGCAGTTTTGCCCATTCCTCTTTGCAGCACCTCTCAAGCTCCATCAAGTTGGATGGGGAGTGGTGGTGCACAGCCATTTTCAGATCCCTCCAGAGATGTTCAATTGGAGAATTGGTCATTCAGAGTTGTCCTGAAGCCACTTCTTTGTTATCTTGACTGTGTGCTTTGGGTCGTTGTCCTGCTGAAAGATGAACCGTCGCCCCAGTTTGAGGTCAAGGGCGCTCTGGAGCAGGTTTTCATCCAGGATGAATACATTGCTGCATTCATCTTTCCCTCTATCTTGACTAGTCTCCCAGTTCCTGCCGCTGAAAAACATCCCCACAGCATGATGCTACCACCACCATGCTCCACTGTAGGGATGGTATTGGCTTGGTGATGAGCAGTGCCTGGTTTCCTCCAAACATGACGCCTGGCATTCACGCCAAAGAGTTCAATCTTTGTCTTATCAGACTAGAGAAATCCAGGTGGGCTGCCATGGGCCATCGTTCAATTTAGATGGCCGGCCAGCTCTAGGAAGACTCCTGGTGGTTCCAAACTTCTTCCATTTACGGATGATGGAGGCCACTGTGCTCATTGGAAGCTTCAAAGCAGCAGACATTTTTCTGTCCCCTTCCCCAGACTTGTGGCTCGAGACAATCCTGTTTCGGAGGTCAACAGACAATTCCTTTAACTTAATGCTTGGTTTGTGCTCTGACATGCACTGTCAACTGTGGGACCTTATATATACAGGCGTGTGCCTTTCCAAATCAAGTCAAATAAACTGAATTTACCACAGGTGGACTCCAATTAAGCAGTAGAAGCATCACAAGGATGATCAGTGGAAACAGGATTCACCTGAGCTCAATTTTGAGCTTCATGGCAAAGGCTGTGAATACTTATGTACATGTGATTTATTCGTTTTTTGTTTGTAATACATTTGCAAAAATCTCCCAAAAATCGTTTTCATGTTGTCATTATGGGGTTCTATGTGTAGAATTTTAAGTGGAAAAAAATAAATTGAATCCATTTTGGAATAAGGCTGTAACATAACAAAATGTAAAAAAATTGAAGCTCTGTGAATACTTTCCGGATGCACTGTAGGTCATACTTTGATATAAGCTGCATGTTGTCGTGTTATCTGTCCATAACCACTTATGGACAGATAAGGGAGCAAGATAACTGTGTTATTGGAGACATTATTTAGCAGACATTGACTTATGTTAGCATGCTTACCTCTACCCCCTAGCAATGGCCAGGGCCATTTTTGTTCACCAGACTTATCCAGTGGCCGACAACCCAGATAACAAAATTGTTTTGACTGGATTTGCTTCTGGTGTCACTATCAAAAACAAAATGTATACAAATATATCAACATTTGGATTAAAACTATTGGCCTTTGACATGCCTATAGCATAAAATGTGCAACTTTTGGCAAGATTTTAGGTTAATTATGTGTGCCATATTAAATTTGAATGTGATTAATGTTGTGCTTATTTTTTTATTTTATTTTTAGATTTTGAAAGACATTATAGCGATAATTTTATCAATATACTTAACACCCATATCGAATATCGCTCTAATTTCAAATATTGTCCAGCCCTACTTAGAAGTCATATGACTATTTGAATACTACAGAATAATACCAAATAGTGTTATATTGCATGTGGTCTCGTTCTGATAATATCCTTCTAAAAAGATACTGCAACTCTTATGTTTACATAAGAACTCTCAGAGCAGTCAATGTGACGGCTTTTCATTTTGGATGTGTAATTGCTCTGCATTTACTCTACGTTTTTTGCTCTTCCTAACTTTGACTTTTTCTGTATCTACATGTAGTTTATATCTTTGTCATTTTTTATTATTATGATGTGATGTAGGGTGACAGTGGCTCAGTTGGTAGAGCATTGGCCTTTGGCCCTGAAGGTTGTGGGTTCAAGCCCACCACAAGACCTACTTCACGACTCTCACTGACGTCTGCTGTCGTTGTGTCCTTAGGCAAGACACTTAACCCCACTTTGCCTGAAGCCCCCGCTGAAAGATCAAGGCTCCTGTGGTCACCTGCAGGAGGATAAGTGAGGGGCTGGTGCTAAGTGATCTGGGTGCAGCTCTGACTGCCCCCCCCCGACCCAAAAATGGATTAAAGGGGACATATCATAAAAAATCCACTTTTTGTGTCTTAAATGCCTTATGTTGTGTAGTTGGAGCCTCTAGAAGTGCAAAAAAGTTGAAATCAGTCTCTTCATGGGTTGCAGAGAACACTTCATATTCTGTTTAGGTAAGATTTTTCAACCCGTTCTGATTTTGCCATTCTCTATTACGTGTTTAGAATTATTACGTCACAGTATTTGCAGCGGGACTGCTATATAAGGGCATGGGCGTCTAACAAAACACTTCGGCCCAGCCCTCCTCTACCGTGCATCACTTCGAATTTGTAGTCCAAGCTCAAGGATGCCAGCGCACAGGGCTGGACTGGCCAGCGCCTCATTTGCATTTAAAGAGACAGCACCAAAACAGGTTGCTCTCAGACGCACCTCAGAACAAGTGTAGAAGAAAGGCCCGTGTAGCTACAAATAATGAGACTCAGACCCAGGCATTGCAGTTACGCTTTATATAGGCCACAAATTAATGATTTAGATGTAAAAATCAATTATTTGAAAACACGATATGTCCACTTTAAGGGGAAGAAAATGGATGTGATGTAATTCTAACTTTAATTCCCAGAGCCATCCTTTTCCACCAAAGAACAAGTGCTAGTTACCATAGCAACACAATTCACTTGCAGCACTTTGCATTTTGCCTATCAACAAACTTTTTTTTGCTGTATTTCATTTTATATTCCCCTTTTTTTTAGCACTTATTTAAAATGAGAAAAACCTCTTTTGTTAAATCTGGTGAAAAACAAACATTTTGGGCATATTCCTCAGAATGCCAATGATTTGATTGATTTGATTTGAATGGGATTCTACGAGTTTCTGATTTCAAGGAGCTAGGACTCCTTGAACTCAGAAACTGTTAATAAAATGTACTTTCATGTGAACAAATAAGACCACAACGTGTAGTCTGCAGCTTATTAGAACATGCTATCTGGTTCATGCTTAGCCCTGTGAGTCACTAATTGACTCTCTGGGCTGAGAGCAACGACCCTGATGACCCTAACTCAGCCAATTTTCTGAACGATGTGAAGCTATGATGGAGGTCAATAAATACAGGCATGTGAAAAGTGGCATTTGTTTTAAACTGTTTCGAGTTTTGTGGTTTGAATTGTTGGTGCCCCTGCTTTTATGCTTCATATATCTATATTTATCATGCACACTTACACGTCTTGATTTTGTTTGTGTTGTTTTTGTCCGCCCGCAGAGCAAAGACAAGCTGTCCCCTTTCACAAAGACTCCGAAGTTGGACCGGAGTGAGATACTGGGGAAGGAGGCAAAGGCCAAGTCCTCTATGAAACGCAAACTGTCGTTCAGCTCCAGTCCGCCCCCCTCCGAGCCCCGCGCCGATCCCAGAGGAGAGGAGCGAGACTCGGACACAGGTACAGAGCTGTCCCCCTGGTGCTCTGACACGTACGCACACGCACACAAATTAAGGCTTTCTTTTTGAAAGCCTTAATTTGTTAATTAAGGCTTTCAAAAAGATATCAATTTCATTTCCACACACAGCACTCTCTGCTGGACTTTGATTTAGTGCAATAACTGATTGTTTCACAAAGAGAAGATGAAACGGTGTAAATTAACATTGATTGATTATAGAAATATGGCTATCTAGATTACTTGTGATTCTTGAATATATCATATCATATATCACATCTAACAACGCATGCTTACTTTTACCTTTTTATTCAAATTTTAATACAATGGGATGATACTTGTATCATGAAAAAGATTAAAATGGATTCACGTGGTTAGCACTGTGATGGGAGACTTCTGGGAACACCAGGTGCTACAGTGGCGCAGCTGTTAAGTGCCAAACTGTTATGTTCTTAGGCAAGAGATTTCACCCACATTGCCTAGAATGAATGGTGTTTGTGTGAATAGCTGGTTGTGGTCGGAGGGGCCGATGGCCCATACTGGTTGCCTCAGTGTCCCCCAGGGCAGTAGTTGTTGATCAACACCATGTATGGAGTAAAAGAATAATGATATGTGAAGCAGTCTATATAAAACCGATGCATTATCATTATTATTTTATCTATGCAAAAAAATTTAGCTTCTTGAATATAGGTGATGACACCTCAATTGAAACGGCTGGTTCTCTGCTTCTCTGCCTGTGAGCCCGCCTCCCCCTACCCGCGGGTAACGTAGCCTCACGCTGCCTTGTTTACTTACAAACCTAACTGTTTAGCTATTGCCAGTGAGCCCGCCTCCCCAACCCGCGGGTAACGTAGCCTCACGCTGCCTTGTTTACTTACAAACCTAACTGTTTAGCTATTGCCAGTGAGCCCGCCTCCCCAACCCGCGGGTAACGTAGCCTCACGCTGCCTTGTTTACTTCCAAACCTAACTGTTTAGCTATCGCCAGTACACAGTAATTTCTGACCGATGGCAATTCGTCACATGGAGACCTATGTCCTCAATCCAGAATCGGACCCCAAGTATTTAGTTAACAGTAGTATATACAGAGTAGTTGCATTGTACTTTCAGATCTAGGCCTTCTCACCTCACAAATTGGTTCCACGTCACAATCAAGTCGTTTTGCTGTCTCTCGAGAATGAAAGAGAAAGATCGCTCCCTAACTAAATCTTGAGGGAAACGATGATCAACTACTTTCGGCATGTGTATGAAGGCCAAATAGCTCTGTAATGATGATTAAAGCAGAGAAGTCAAACAGCGTACTTTGGGCCCTTCAAGTATAATCCTTTTAATGTATGGCTTTGCAGTGAGATACAAAGTCCTTATTTCAATCTATCATCTTCAGACTTGTCATGTTTTTGTTGTATAGGCAGCCCTGTTGTGTGTTTGTGGCTTTTCAGTCAAGTGAGACTGTTTCTGTATTAAGTGAATCTATCAGCCTGTCACAACTGCTCATTGTCTTTATTCATATTACATTAGCAGGGGTATCAAACTGGTTCCAGAATAAGCCATGTGGCTGCAGGTTTTAGTTCCAACCTGAGCAGGAGCACAACAGACTCCACCCATTTCCTCAAATCCTCAAGTTAAAACTGGACTCACCTGAGGAAATGGGTAGTGTCTGCCACACGGCCCTTTCTGGAACTGCTTTGAGACCCCTGCATTAGAGCATTATTTCTGCAATAAATATAAACATTGTGCAACCTTGAAGTCTGTCTATGTCCGACTGCCTTCTATACTTTGCAGTAAACACATAATTTTAGTTACATCAATGTGACTTGTAGATATTGTTTTTACATCAATATTCAGGTTTCAGCATGTAAAATCTTTTTCAATAAGCGCAGAGTCGGGCTGCACAATTATTCACAATGTATTTCCCTGGTAATTTAGCACAGACTCCCATTATTTAAGTTCTTTTGACCTCAACTTGTTTTCTTAAGCACTTTGAGTTACTTAGAAAACAAGAGAAACAATAAAATTCTAAATAATCACAGCTTAACTGTTGAACATGGTCAACGTAAAAGCCTGTCTCATAATTAAGATTTTAACTGCATGAGTTTGAAATGCATGTTTCATGTTTAAAAATGTTTAAAAATACTGGATGTCAAAAATATCACATCCAAAATCGTGCAGCCAAAGCCTCCTGTTTCAGCTGTAGCTCAAGTTTGTTGTGACAGGCATGAATGTGTGTGAGTGACGTTGGCTCTTCCTGCTCCTTCTGCTTCTGCTCTGTAGACGAGTCAGAGCCAGGCGTTTCCACAGAGCCCTGGAGGATGTACTCAGGTAACCCCCTTTTCAAGCACCCCCCACCTCTCCACTAAGCTAAAACCACTCTCCCGCTGCTGCCACCACTGAGATCCTAGACCCTTTTGCACGTGTGTGTTTTTCTATAGTCCTCAGTTCTTTGCATCTGCTGCCCCCGGGCCGAGCTCTCGCATGTATTTTGTTTTTGGTTTTTTTATTGATGCAGAGATGGGTAGTTTTTTTGTTGTACTTGGCTGGCTTCAGGGAATGTTGGTTTCCATTGAAGAGGTGTGTTACAGAGAGCAGGTCAATGAAGAGTTGATACTCATGTCAAACTGACAATCCAACCTGTGGATAAAACCAGTGAGAAGGAAAAATCTGTTTGCAAAATGATGATACTATTTTTAAGCACTTCATAATGGGGCGAATTGTCAGGGCTTTCATAACTAAAACATCTTTAACACCAGAACTCTGAGAGCAGTCAATTTGTAAGTATAACATTACTGCTTTATGTATATTTTTGGTATTCATAACTTTTATACTTTTTCTGTTTCTATATTTAATTTATTTCTGTGTAATTATTTTAACATAGACTACCAGAGCAGTCGTTTTGACTGCTACAAAGCAGTAGTGTTGACGGCTCCAGTAATTTGAATGTCAAATTCAAATGTAGCCATTTTTGGTTGTTTGGCAACCAGTATTATATGGCAGTTAAGGCAATGTTTCACAAGATGCTGGTCCTGTACTGGTTTGGGACCGGTCCTGGACTGTTTCTGTTTCTGGTTCTGAGCCGAGTCGGCTTGGTTGTCCACCAGATAAGAGCAAGTGCTAGTTAGCTATACAGCTATACACAAGCATAGCTTAAACAAACGGTTACTGTGTTCAAAGTTATAGTAACCAGTTTAAACATGTATTAAGATTTTTTTTTTAAACGTATACATTATTTAAATTTAATTTGCTTAAAACTAAAGCGTACTAGTTTTGTTTTGTTTTTTTCAAATTCCATTTATTTGAATGGGAACTGTCAAAACAATATCAGAGTAAAAAATAATTGTTTTCAAGATTATCCTCTGTTTATTATTATTTAAATAATTTCCACCAGAATTGTTACATAATGTATTTCACACAAATATGGGGAGGTACAGTGGGGCAAAAAATTATTTAGTCAGCCACCGTTTGTGCAAGTTCTCCCACTTAAAATAATGACAGAGGTCTGTAATTTTCATCATAGGTACACTTCAACTGTGAGAGACAGAAATGTGAAAAAAAAAAATCCAGGAATTCACATTGTAGGATTTTTAAATAATTTATTTGTAAATCATGGTGGGAAATTATTTGGTCACTTCAAACAAGGAAGATCTCTGGCTCTCACAGACCTGTAACTTCTTTAAGAAGCTCTTCTGTCCTCCACTCGTTACCTGTATTAATGGCACCTGTCCACAGCCTCAAACAGTCAGACTCCAAACTCCACTACGGCCAAGACCAAAGAGCTGTCGAAGGACACCAGGAAAATAATTGTAGACCTGCACCAGACTGGGAAGAGTGAATCTACAATAGGCAAGCAGCTTGGTGTGAACAAATCAACTGTGGGAGCAATTATCAGAAAATGGAAGACATACAAGACCACTGATAATCTCCCTCGATCTGGGGCTCCACGCAAGATCTCATCCCGTGGGGTCAAAATGATCATGATTGGTGATCAAAAATCTCACAACCACACGGGGGACCTGGTGAATGACCTGCAGAGAGCTGGGACCAAAGTAACAAAGGTTACCATCAGTAACACACTACAACAACAGGGAATCAAATCCTTCAGTGCCAGACGTGTCCCCCTGCTGAAGCCAGTGCATGTCCAGGCCCGTCTGAAGTTTGCCAGAGAGCACATGGATGATACAGCAGAGGATTGGGAGAATGTCATGTGGTCAGATGAAACCAAAGTAGAACTGTTTGGTATAAACTCAACTCGTCGTGTTTGGAGGAAGAAGAATACTGAGTTGCATCCCAAGAACACCATACCTACTGTGAAGCATGGGGGTGGAAACGTCATGCTTTGGGGCTGTTTTTTCTGCTAAGGGACAGGACGACTGATCCGTGTTAAGGAAAGAATGAATGGGGCCATGTATCGTGAGATTTTGAGCCAAAACCTCCTTCCATCAGTGAGAGCTTTGAAGATGAAACGTGGCTGGGTCTTCCAGCATGACAATGATCCCAAACACACCGCCCGGGCAACGAAGGAGTGGCTCCGTAAGAAGCATTTGAAAGTCCTTGAGTGGCCTAGCCAGTCTCCAGACCTCAACCCCATTGAAAATCTTTGGAGAGAGTTGAAAGTCCGTGTTCACTGCTCTCGAGAAGATCTGCATGGAGGAATGGGCCATAATACCAGCTCCTGTGTGTGCAAACCAGGTAAAGACCAATAGTAATCGTTTGACCTCTGTTATTGCCAACAAAGGTTATATTACAAAATATTGAGTTGAATTTTTGTTATTGACCAAATACTTATTTTCCACCATAATTTACAAATAAATTCTTTAATGTGAATTCCTGGATTTTTTTTCACATTCTGTCTGTCACAGTTGAGGTGTATCTATGATGAAAATTACAGACCTCTGTCATTATTTTAAGTGGGAGAACTTGCACAATTGGTGGCTGACTAAATACTTTTTTTGCCCCACTGGATTTGTCATTTTTTTATTAGTTGTAGTTCAACTTTTGGCTGAAATGATAGTGATACAAATGGTCGATGTACAGATAGTGTGTCGTAATGCCTCTAGACTACAGCTTGTCAATTCAATGCATTCGCCATTTGAATTACAAAACCTTTCAGGTACCCAAAATATTCATAAAACAGCCGGAAGAACCCCACTGAAGAGACTGTATGGTAGTAATATAATCTTTTATTTAAACCCGCAAGTGGCGTCGAACGGCCCTCGCCCATAGACTGTATATATTAACGGACAGAGTCACGCCTATCTCCGCCGTTCTAACTAATGGGCCAAAAAATTTGCTCTACTGGAGCAATCCAAAATGGCCGCGAGTGGTCCCGCCCACAAGAAAATTGTGAAAAAACGATCCATTCGCTCCATTCATTTGAAGGAGAGACTTCAAAAATTCACAGCAAGTAAACTAGAGTGGACCAAAAAAATCCACCCCCCTCAGCATTGACACACATGTGGAACGGAGCTCTGGGCCAAGAGCCAACTTTTGGTCCATCCTGTAAAGACGTTTTCGAGAGGTCTGCCAACGCTATATGTTAGCATTGGCTAATTCTTATTCTGGGTCCACCCCCATCGGCCCGGGGTGGTATTGCAAGCATGTCAGCGCACGTCATTTTGGCCACTTTTGAGCTGGGACCCGCCCTCACTGCCCTCGCCGCACCGCCATGATTTGCTCTCGTAGCCATAGAACAATGTTCATGAAATTGTAATTAATATGATGAGTTGGTTTGGCTCCCCATGTAAAACTTTGGCTCAGTCTGTAGGGGGTTCTAAAGAGGTTGAACAACCTAGTCAAGTTTAGTACAAATCACACTTTGTATGTGTAAACAGGAGCATGTATAATCTGTGAGTTTGTCCATATATATATACATTCTCCTTTGGATGACCATGTGACTAATCTAAATTCAATGAACAATTATTGATGGTAATATGTGTTGAGATGATATGGAGCTATTTTCAGCCAAATCGGTGAAACGGCCGAGGCTGGTTTGATGTTTGTTTGTGTGAAGTGTACATTTTCCATTAACACAGAATGGGGAGCGTTTGACGTCGCCACGGCAACAGGGTAAAAAATAAGTCTTGGGTGTCATTGACTTGAATCAAGAGGGCAAAACAGAATTATGTGAAAATTTTCAAACATTTTGGAAAAACTAAATGTGATTTTCCCCATGTAAAACTCTGAATAGGGGGTGCTAATGAGCCAATATATATTATTTTACTTTCAAATGGCCGTGACCCTAGAGTGGAAAAATGGATTAAAGTTTTGTGCAAATCTGACTTTGTATGTGCAAACAGGAGCACATTTTGCCGCTCCACTGCTCGAACAACGTGTAACTGATCAAAATTCTGAGAAGTTTTGATGGTACACGTGTTTAGACTATGTGGAGCTAATTTTAAGCAAATCGGGGAAACGGCCGAGGAGTTGCTTTCCAACCGACGTGTGAAAATGATCAATATCAATTTTCGTTTTTCCATTTTCCAATTAATTTGATGGGTTTCCTGTTTGTAAAGGAGCGTGGCCATAATAACTTTTTTTCATGTCTTGACTTGAGTAAGTAAGTAAGTAATCTTTATTTATATACCGCCTTTTCACTGCACATCGGAGTCTCAAAGCGGTTTACAATTGTTATTTTTGGGAGCAGGGGTGCCAGTACAGGAGGCACATGCTAGACCTATTGTACATATTTTTAGTGGTAGGGGAAACCGGAGCACCCGGAGGAAACCTACGCAGACACGGGGAGAACATGCAAACTCCACTCAGAAAGGCCCTGGTCCAACCGGGATTCGAACCCAGGACCTTCTTGCTGAGAGGCAAGAGTGCTATCCACTCAGCCACCGTGCCACCTTGAGGAACATGAATACCAAATTTTGTGGCTCTTGGACAAACTTGACCTCGGCCCCTCTCCCATAGGCGCAATGTAAACTGAATTTTGTAGAGTGCGCTGTTCTGGAAATTTTTTAGTCCCATAAAAATGAACAGCAAAAAAGCAAATTTTTTGCCTGCCTGAACATGCATAAAAACTTGCCTAATTTTGCCCAATTTTCAGAACCAGCAAAAAATTTACTTTAGTTGAATGCCAGAACAGTGCACCCTAAAAAGTCAGTTTACATTGCGCCTATGGGAAGAGGTCTGAGGTCAAGTTTGTTGTAGAGCCACGACATTCTTTATACATGTTGCTCAAGTCAAGACATGAAAAACAAGTTATGGCCACACCCCCTGACAAACAGGAAGCCCATAATTTTCATTGCAAAATGGAAAAATTCAAAATGATCCTTTTCACACACGTCGGTTGGAAATCATCTCCTCCTCGGCCGTTTCACTGATTTGCCTCAAAATCGCTCCACATCATCTTAACACATGTACCATCAAAATGATTTCCCAGAATTTTCATCAGTCAAGCCTAGTGTATAGTCGTGCGGCGCGGAGCTTACAGTGGTGACACACCGTCACTTGCGCAACGCAAGGATCACCGCTGCCGCAGAGAAGCTCCGCTGTGATTGGTCAGTGGGTGTGTTTTGGACGGAAGTATGGAGCGGCTGCAGGGAACATGGACAAGGCACTTTCGGGGCAGATAGCTTCGTGCTTCGAAGGAACAGAAGGAAAAGTAGTTTGGGTTCAGGGCTCAGAGCCCGAGCCTGTCTGTGGACTGTCCAGTTCTGTTGCATATCCAACTTATAAACTGTACAGTCGTTATTGCTTTTGCACTGCTCCTATGCCTGTCTTTGTTTAAATCTGCACTCGGAGCTTATCGCATCTGTTGCATTGCTCCTGCACTTGTAAATAGTTTGTTTGGTCTCAGATGTTTACCACTTATTGTTTTGCTGTTTGTGCTGAATACAATTTAATAATAACTATGTTTACAACAAGAACTGAGTCTTTATTCACAGCATCACAGTTAAAATTAGTTATGAAATAATGAGTCGATTGAACTATCACATAGACCTACACTGGAAACACATTTAATGAGCTCAAACAGCTTGGTTTGCTAATGTTTTTGTTCTGGAGGAGAAAGTAGCTAGCATAAATGGGGCCGCTTTGGTTTCCCAGGCAACTCCTGTGAGATCACCATCACGTGGTTGGGTGTGGGATTACAACATTCTCTTCAAGACTCCGCAGGATGAACGCGCGAGTGTACCAGCAACTGTGGCTGCGTAGGTCCAGTGCCACCGTAACCAGCGCCGCGCAAATATACACTAGGCTTTACTCTTTGTTGGAGCAGCGTAGTAGCAAAATGTGACCCTTTTGTTGCCATTTTTGACAATAGAAAATTAGCTCCTGTTTGCACATACAAAGTCCGATTTGCACAAAACTGTTGTCAATTGTTCAACTCTAGTGTCTAGGTCATTTGAAAGTGAAATAATTCAAATGGGCCCATGAGCGCCCCCTACAGACTATGTCAAAATTTACATTGGTTTAATCACATTTAGTTTTTTCAAAATGTTTGAAATTTTGCATATAATTCTGTTTTGCCCTCTTGATTCAAAAAGTCAATGAGACCCAAGACTTATTACTTATTTTTTTACCCTGTTGCCGTGGCAACGTCAAACACTTCCCATTCTGTGTCAATGGCAAATGTACACCTCGCACAAACATCAAACCAGCCTTGGCCGTTTCACTGATTAGGCTGAAAATTGCGCCACATCATCTCAACACATGTATCATCAATACACACTCACAGATTATACATGTGCTCCTGTTTACACATACAAAGTCTGATTTGTACTAAACTTGACTCGGTTGTTCTACTCCTGGGCCTAGGTCACCTGAAGGTGTGAAATATTACATTGGAGAGCCATACCAACTCATTACAATTGCACAAACATTGTTCTATGGCTACAGGATCAAATAATGGTTTGATGCCGCTTGTGGCTATAATTTTTCATATAGCGGTTGTCTCTGAGGCCTTTTTTTTTTTTTTATATATATAATTTGTGAACATCAGATTAGAGAATCAGAGGATGGGAACTTGGGAAATGCAAGCATGAAAATCAACTATGAGCCATAGGGAAGTAGGATGACCAAATTCTCAATTTTTGGTAACCTCCATACATGAGATGTTTATAGAGTACCATTTCCATTGATGGCCAAACCTATTATGTACTGCACTTCTCTGGAAACAGGGCTGTAGTTTCCCGTCTTTGGACACTTCAGCTTGTCATCTGTTCATCAACATCTCGACAGATACAAGGCAAAGAGGAAAACCCAACCTCCTCCTGCTGCTGCAGCACCAAAACGTCTACTTCCCGCCACAAAAAACTCCAAAATTATGATTGGCGTTTTGGTTTCTGTTTCAGACAAAGATGGACCTGATAAGAAGCGTCTGAAGAAGGAGTCTGGAGGAAGAAAGTCGCAGTCGTCAAATCTACTGTTTGGATATCCGCTGTCAGAGAGGAAGCAGATGGCTCTCCTCATGCAGATGACTGCCAATAGCCCAGGTTTGTGCTGCCCCTGTACTTGAGAAAGACACTTCACCTACCTATGATTTTATGTAAATGTCTATTGTCACTTTTATGGTCACCTGATTTTCCTCTTATGGGTTAAATACATTTTCTATCATCATCAGCATCATCTATCTATCAACTTATCTTTCATTTTATGTGCATTTATTCCCAGTTTTTTTATTGCGAACTTGGCATTTGATGTTACATATTCAACCTCAAAATTGCCAAAATGGTTCTCAGAATCATGATCAAAACTTGTACTCTCGAACATTATCTTGAGCTAGGATTGGCCAATGAATCACTATATTTGTTAATAAAAATATTAACAAATATAGTTAAAATTGCATTTTTAGCATAGTGCATTTATCGATAATAGTTTTTACTTAAGAGTTTGCATTTTTCTCGTTTTTCCATCTACAAGGCTGTCTGCACGTGGCCCTCTTTCATTGACAGGAACATATTGGCTACGAAGTTAATAAACGGAAGCAAACGATTATTTTGGTCATAATAATAATTGCCTTGATGAGAGAAAGGACAGAAGAGTGTGTGAGGAAATCCATGAAAGCTCAGAGCGGTAAATGTCAACTGTTCATGAATACTAATTAACAAAAATTATAATAAAGTTAGGTTAGTATCGATTTACAGATTTGCTTCCAAAAATTGACAAATTTAAACATTAGCTTAAAAGATTTGGCCAGAGAAAACCTTTAGTGATAATGGTATGAATCATGTTTGTTATGTAAACATTGTGAGAAAATAAGAAATATAAAACTTTTTGCAACCCAGACTATCTCTGTATCAAAACAAAGTGGCGAGTGAGATTTCCAGTAAAACCAGTTAACCAGAGCCAGATAATCCGCTGTGGTTTACTGTGTAAATAAACTACACTTCCGGGAGGTGAAATGGTTTGTGTCAATAAGAGTCATGACAAGCCCAGATTTGGTAAATAATGGAATTAATGAGAACTGTGTTAACTGTGTAATGCATTTCATTCAGACTTCAAAGGGACAGTGCAGAACTGAATAAAGCAAAGGCGGAGATTGTAATTATGGCTGTGACAATCACTGCCTTTATTTGATAAGAGAATATGGACTACGCTACAAAACATTGCCCACAAACTGGACAGACCACTCCAGCCCCATTCTACATGTGCATTAGGCAACGCAAGTTTATCTGTACAGCAAAGTTCATACACATGCTTAAAGTGATTGTCTGGAGTTTGTCAGAAAAAAAGAGAGAGAGGTACTTGATTTGAAAAATCGCAAGCTCCCCTCCCCTTCCTTTCTGATTCTACGATTCTGTAACACATTTAAATGTTAATCAGAAAATACATTATATATACATTATACATTATTAATACACATGCACTGAGGTTTTCAGAATTATTTGTTAACGTTATCATGACAAAAATAATGTTTTAATGCACAAAAATCGTGGCAAACCCGGAAGTAGCTATTATCATGAATTGAACATTATAGGACACATCTGCAGACGATTTGACTATGGATATAGGTTCAGTATATAAATGGGTAACTCAGCGCGGATGTTCAGAATTCTTTGTTCAGTTTTCATGTAGTTTCAGAGCCTTAGAGGCTTGATTCGGAGGCTCAGCGAAAACAAACAACTGAGCCACGAGCATCAGCGCGATAATTGACAGCCCTTGGCATCACTTGATTGGTTAACGTGGACGGCATCGGGGATTCTGAGCTATAGCTAAGAGAAGGGAAGGCGGGACTTTCCCGTAATATTAGAATTAATAAAATTGCTAGAGTTCCAGACTATCACTTTAAAGTGATAGTCTGGAACTCTATATAAATTAATAATTTTAAGAATTGTATTAAAGGCGCTATACCCGTTTCTGCAAGGTTTGAATGTTTAGCACCGCCCCCCCCAACTCGCTCAATGGCTTCTCATTTCCCCTACGCTCTCATAACACAGAGCCATCTAGCTCAATTTGCGATCTGACATGTATGCTAACATTTGCATTAGCACAACTTCTTGTAAACTGTACTACAATCACTGATGAAATGGTACTAAAGCAACGTACTGCTAACACAATATATCGGTAAAAGAATACTGCTAGTTTCGCATCAAAATTTATTCATTAGAACAGGGGTTCCCAAAGTTTTTAGCCCGCGACCCCCATCATAAATGCCCTGCTAACTCGCGACCCCCCCCCCCCCAACAGCCCTTCCGTCACATGAAATGAGCATGTATTTCCTTGATACGGAGTAACGCTTTCTAGAGACTCACGCCACTACCGAGCTGCACTGTCCAGCCCAAAAAAGGAGGCTTGCATATTTTTACTCATGTAGTGACACAGTGATGGGCTTGGGCTCCCTCCTCAGCAGAAGTGGAGCGCATTTCTTGCGGCTCGCCCTCACTGTTCTCCTACCGCGGTAAAGTGGGCCGGCTTTCCGGAGTCAGCGGTAAAGAGGTCCGCACATTAAAAGCGGGCGGCCGCTTTCTGCTGTTACTTTATGCGGTTCATCCCCACGGCTTCTCTTTCCAAAGTTACTGTCAGTAAAGGCATAAAGCGGCCACCCGCTTTTAATGTGCGGACCTCTTTACCTTTGACTCCGAAAAGCCGGGCCTCTTTAACGCGCTGTTCTACCGCTGCCCTCCCTCCCTCCCTCCGCTGTCCTCCCTCCCTCCTTTGCCCTCCCTCCCTCTCTTCGCACCATCAGCCTGACCCCTGATACAAGTGACTTTTCTCCCCCTCCGGGTTTTTCTGTTGTGGATATTAACCACGTTTCATTTTAAAGCAAGTATTATTTATTTGTAGCCTCCAAACACCTTTAGTTTTAGCAAACAACAGCAGGACACGCTTTGTCGCTGCGCATGATGTGAGCTGTGTTACGTGATGATTTTGATTGACGCTGCAATGACTGGGACAAAATTACTAACGTTATTAAAATATATTATAGTCTCCAAACACAATTTAACAAGTAGTCCTTTTGAATCAAATCAAATGCTAAATAAATATTTAAGGGCTTTATATTTGCTCAAAAAAAAAAAATTTTTTGTTTGTTTGTGTGGAAATCATCTTGCGACCCCCCCAGGGGTTCCCGCGACCCCCACTTTGGGAACCACTGCATTAGAACATTAGAATATATTTGAATATTTAATTATAATTTATTATACAGCTCCTCACAGCAGCAGTAGAACACTCCATTGACTTGAATGAAATTCTACCGATCATTTTTTCTTGATAACAGAACTCTCAAATCAATAATGACCGCTGCCCTTTGACAATGCGCAATCTCTGTTTGTAATTCAGGAGTGTAAAATACTGCCAATACAACAAGAGCTAGCACGTCCCGGTGAAACCTTTGGGAGCTAACTATTTGATTTGCAGTTATTGAATACATTTCGAATTGTAAGGGCTGTCTAATATGTGTTCGAATATATATATATATATATATATATATATATATATATATATATATATATTTTAATTTTAGAATTATATTTGAATTTCGAAAGCCGGAGACCTAGTTTTTAGCAGCGCTGTAGGGGCTAGAGGACGCAGGCTGTTCGCTGCTCGTTCTGTGAGCGGAGGAGAAAGAGCGGCCCGCTCAGACTCTACTCAGCACTTTTTACTGCTTGTTATTCTTACACAGCTGACTCAATTGCCTCAAGTTTTCAATTAAATTACGGATTATACAACTTGTATGTAGTAATAAGCATTTGTATCAACTACTTAAAAAAAATCGGGTATAGCTTCTTTAAATTGACCTCCTGGGCTTAAATGTTGATATTAAATAAGTCATTTTATGATGTTAGATAGGTAGGTATGGCTCAAAATCCACGATGCCGTCCAGTTTAACCAATCAAGTGATGCTAAGAGCTGTCAATCATTGCGCTCATGCTCGTTTATATAATTCAAATATTATATAGTAATATATATATATATATAAAATTACAGGTCCTTCTAAAAATAATTTGCATATTGAGATAAACTTCATTATTTTTTGTAATGTGTGTATAAACAGTCGACTTTCATATATTTTAGATTCATCACTCACAACTGAAGTAGTTCAAGCCTTTTATTGTTTTAATATTGATGATTTTGGCAAAAAAGTAAAAATCCCTATCTCCAAAAATTAGCATATTTCATCCAACCAATCAAAGTATTTTCAATACAAAAAATGTCAACCTTCAAATAATGATGTTCAGTTATGCACTCAATACTTGATCAGGAATCCTTTTGTAGAAATGAATGCTTCAATACGGCGTGGCATGGAGGCAATCAACCTGTGACACTGCTGAGGTGTTATGGAGCCCCAGGATGCTTCAATAGTGGCCTTAAGTTCATCCACAGTGTTGGGTCTGGTGACTCTCAACTTCCTCTTCACAATATCTCACAGATTCTCTATGGGGTTTTGGTCAGTAGAGTTGGCTGGCCAATTGAGTACAGTAATCCCCTGGGCAGTAAACCATTTACCAGTGGTTTTGGCACTGTGAGCAGGTGCCAGGTCGTGCTGAAAAAGGTATTCTTCATCTCCATAAAGCTTTTCAGCAGATGGAAGCATGAAGTGCTCCAAAATCTCCTGATAGCCAGCTGCATTGTCCCTGCCCTTGATAAAACACAGTGGACCACCACCAGCAGCTGACATGACACCCCAGACAATCATTGACTGTGGGTACTTGACACTGGACTTAGGGCATTTTGGCATTTGCTTCTCCCCAGTCTTCCTCCACACTCTGGCACCTTGATTTCATCCGAAAAAAGTACCATTGAGCAACAGTCTATTGCTGCTTCTCTTTAGTCCAGGTCAGGCGCTTTTGCTGCTGTTTCTGGTTGTGGTTTCTGCAGTGATGGGAGTTACTTTTTTCAGTAACCTAGTAATCTAACTAATTACTTTGACTGTAACTATAACGCCGTTATCATTGCCGACACCCCGTTACTGTACGTTTCTCAAGTCGCACAATAAACTTTTTTTTTAAATTTCATGATAGGACTCGTGCGCGTGTTGTCATGAGAGAAGGGAGGATGAGATAACCTCTCAGCAATTATTGGCTGATGTAAAACATATTTCCTTTACAATCTACATGTCTACAGTTGAGAGGATGGTAATAAATTGTGTTTTTGAAACAAACATGGGTCTTAACTCGCGCTCAACGCACGGCTTGTATCACCAAGTCAGGCCAGCCTCAGGTGAGCGCAGAAGTCGGCTGCATACAATTTCATCAGAAAGCTCCTTTCTCTTTCTGGTTCATCTGCTAAGGGCAGCAACAGGTTTGGCTAACATACATATAACACATTTTAAGATAATTTAAAATGCACATAGGGTAATGTTTCAATGACGATAGGAATGATAAATAGAGGTGAAGTGTAAGAAGGTTGATTTTAGAAATTGGATGCACCCGAGAGTTGTCTGCAGCTAGCAAAACAGAGAAGTTTGTGAAGGAGACACGCGTTTTGTTTTACTTTTTAAAACTCATTAGACTTATTTCCAAATGGAGGATTACATATCACGCTCAAACATGGAACTGGTCTGAACCGAAGTGGTCTGTGCAGGTCATTTATAAGGTAAGACCCATAACACACTTTTAAATGTGCTTTTTCATAGCGTTTTCTATGAGCAAACAATGCAGGCATGAAACCTATTCTGCTGTAGCCAAACAAAGTCATTTTGAAGGTACATGTGTTGAGATGATGTGGAGCAATTTAGAGGCGAATCAGTGAAACGGTCGAGAAGATTTCCAACCGACATGTATGAAAACTATTGCTGTTAATTTTTCCATTTTGCAGTGAAATTCATGGGCTTCTTGTTTGTCAGAGGGCGGGGCCATAATAAAAAAAATTTCTTGTCCTGACTTGAGGAACATGTGTACCGAATTTCATGGCTTTTTTGAGTCCCATAAAAACTTTTCATGCATGTTCAGGGGGTCAAATTAGGGCTCAAAGTGCAGAATTTGACATCTCTCGAGCAAAAACAATAGGCCCTTTTCCCGTTCGGGGCTCGGGCCTAATAAATAAATAAACCAAGGAATTTTTTTTCGATGTCTCGAGCAAAAACAATATAGGTTTCAATGGCACGTGATACATCATTTTAAAGCTTTTGAGTTTACGCACGCAACAGTCACGTGACGGATGCGTCAGCACCGCCACCACTTGCAATTACCATTTTGAAAGCAATAGGCCCTTACCCCGTTCGGGGCTCGGGCCTAATTAAAGCCGCAAGCAAGGGCCGTTTGACGCAGCAAGAACAATATAGGTTTCAATGGCACCTGATACATCATTTTAAAGCATTTGTGTTTACACACGCAACCGTCACGTTTTGGTGAGTGACAGGCACTGACGCGTCCGTCACGCACCGCGACCCCTTGCATTCACCATTGTGAAAGCAATAGGCTATTGAAATCGGCTGCATTAAGCTAGATTGTGACCATGGACGTCAGAAATCTGATTTATCTGAGTGATTTTGATCTTGCGTTTGTCCCCTCCAGACTCGACGCCCAGCCACCCCTCACAGACCCCTCCGGTGCAGAAGAAGGTACCCTTGTCGCGGCAGAAGGACAAAGTGAACAAGAGGAACGAGCGTGGGGAGACGCCGCTGCACATGGCGGCCATCAGGGGAGATGCCAAACAAGTCAAAGAGCTCATCAGCCTTGGGGCCGATGTCAACGTCAAGGACTTTGCAGGTACTCTCACTGCTCATTTTGAGACGTTCTGTGGGGAGGTGAAAGGTGCAGTTCATACAAGGCGTCTCAGAAATTTACAGAAACTCGAGGCTGAAGAATTAAGCATTTTACTCTCGGAGGATAAAGAACCTCAACTAACACAAAAGACTCTAAACTATCATAGATGTTAAGGAGCAACAGATTGGATGGGTGTATTGCCATTGTAAGTAACAGGAAGTCGCAAACTATGAATTTGCCTTGGTATACTGTGCAGGTAAGAAATAAAAAGATGAGGGTCGTACCACACAGTGACGGAGGTGGTGACGGTCGTACCAACAGGTGATGGAGGAGGTGAGGACAGACTCTATAAGGGCTGTGTAAAACTGCACCAACATCTGTGCTGGGTCGTCCTCTGTTCTCCTTATTTGATTATGGAAACATTTAATTGATAATAAATTTAATTCTACAACGTGAACACAACCTATTATAGATCTTAACACTAAATAATGCCTTTGGGTGGATCTGTCTTTTGTAGAGCCACAGCTATTGAATATTTTAGTGATCTCGTAATCTATCGAATATCCCTATCGATCAATCGAGTAACCAAATAAATCATATTTTTGCTTAAGAAAGGCTTAACTATAAATATACAATATAATTTTATAATAATAATATTATTATTATTATGAATATTATTTATTGCTCTAGAATATACTATGTACTTATACTTGCTTCTTTATTATGCTAAGGTTAGAGAAACTATGAAATTGGAACCACATTTGGAAAAACTAATCAGAAGCTGTTGTGACACTGTGTTGCTTTTGCTCTGGTCCAGAGCTTTCTTCGTCTTTCATTGTGAGCTATGTACAGTCTATGGAGCTATGTCAGCAAGAAAGTTTTACAAACACAAGCAAACGAGTATTTAAAGGCTCTTTGTTATTCAGAGCACATAGAATTTGTGACATGAACACGATATGCTTTGACTACGATTCCACAAGGCGAATTATATGAAGCCTCGAGGCAGCGGAAATGACTTAGATATTTGTTGTACTCAATTATCAGAGTAAATTGAGGAATCGTCTCAGTTATGGTCTGTTGTGAGCATAAATGTTGTATTTGTTGCAGGCTGGACCCCTCTGCACGAGGCCTGTAATTTGGGGTATTACGACGTAGCCAAAGTCCTGATCGCGGCCGGAGCAGAAGTCAACACTCAGGGGTTGGATGATGACACGCCTCTGCATGACGCCTCCAGCAGCGGACACAAGGACGTAAGGACTTTCCTAATATAATATATGAGCTGGACAATTCATCTCAATCAAGTTTGCACTTTAAGTGGACGCTATTAGTGTCCTTTGCAAACAAAAATGATCTGAAAATGTTATAATTTCACTAGGTTATAACTCTAAACAGTTTTGCCTTAGACAGCCTATACTGTACAGTTTTGACTGTTTATATAAATTATTATAAAGACGAGACTTTTTAGACTGAAAAACAATTACCTCTGCCTGATAATAGTAAATATACTTGCTTGTTCTAATTACAAATCTTCAAAGATACATTCAAACCAAGACATTTTCTTAAATTAAAGTGATTCATTATCTGAAGCCCTGTTTTGGTTTGTGGATGGCTTGCTGATTGGGAACGCAAAAAGGTTGACCAGTTTGCATCAATTGTGCAGCCCTACTCTCGCATGTTGTTTCTAAGACTCATGGCCCAAAAAAAACTAAACACTCATCGCTGCTCTTGTTACTCTGAGTGTGTCATTCTGTATTGTCAACTTTCCCTCCACTTCTGGTGCTTGTGTCCAGATCGTGAAGCTGCTGCTGCGTCATGGTGGAAATGCGTTTCAGGCTAACAAATGCGGCGAGCGGCCAGTGGACGTGGCAGACTCACAGGAGCTGGAGCAGCTACTGAAGGGAGAGTTGCCCCTGTCTGAGCCCGATGAAAGCTCCTCAGGTACTGAGCACAAACTCCTCCTTTTACTTAAGGCTTTACTGGAGCACCATCTTGTGTCATAAGTGGGAATGTGCACTTAAATTAAGGGTTTGTTTGGGGACTAACTTTGAGTCCAATTTTATGAAACAAGCACAGAACTGTTAAAAATGGCTCCACACAGATTGAATAATTGTTTATTTAATAAAACGTATCAGTATTAGTTTGTTAGAATGGCCTCAAACAGCACCACTACTTTATATGCAACAACTGAATTATTGTTAAATTAATCGATTATCAAACCCATTAGTTAAATACTTTTTTGATCCCCGTAGGAGAAATTCAGGTGTCCAGTAACAGCAAAAATAAAATAAAAAAATTCTAAAAAGCTGACAATAGTAAAAAAGAGCAACTGCTATTCAGGTCACAGCAGCAGAGATGGAGTAGCCTCTAGGTGGAGCAGGACAGGTCACAGCAGCAGAGATGGTGTACCCTCTGGGTGGAGCAGGACGGGTCACAGCAGCAGAGATGGTGTACCCTCTGGGTGGAGCAGGACGGGTCACAGCAGCAGAGGTGGAACGTCTGCTGGGCGGAGCAGGAAAGTTTGCAAGGTGGAGTAGCCGCTGGGGGGAGCAGGAGAGGTCACAGCAGCAGAGATGGAGTAGCCGCTTGGTTCGGACCCTTTTCTCTGCTTCAGTCCAAAGTAAAAGGCTGAATGCTTCATTAGTATTTTTCAAAAAGTTAGCCTTCCTCCCGTGGATTTTTTTCCTGATCCGCTTGGTTCGGACCATGAATCCTCTCCTCTCTATAAAAATAATAAAAATTGTAAAGCACTAAACAACCACTGTTTCAGAGCGAATTAGGACTTGCTGCCGTTTTCCAACACTATTCCAGACTTTACCGAAATATACATTTAAAGCCGCCTACACTAACTGGGCATATATTATTAGGTATTTGATTATTTTTCTAATAATAATGCATCGGTTTTATATAGCGCTTTTTTGGACACTCAAAGACGCTTCACATGTGCCATCATTCTTTCACTCCAAACACGGTGGTGATAAACTACTACTGTAGCCACAGGTACCCTGGTGCACAGTGACAGAAGCGAGGCGTGACAGAACCAGTATGTGCCATCGGCCCCTCGGACCACCACCAACCATTCACACACACACACCAGACTCATTCTAGGCAATAGGGCTTGCCTAAGGACACAACGGCAGTCGCAGCGGCCCCACATCAGGTGTTCCCAGAGGTTAAGTGTCTCGCCAAGGACACAACGACAGCAGACAGAGGGAGTCGATGGTGCAAGTCTTGAGGTGGGCTCGAACCCACAACCTTCTGGCTCAAAGACCAAGCTCTACCAACTGAGCTACTGGAACTTGGATCAGTCAGTGCTAATAATCAGTGCACTAATTATTATACATGGGATTAATTTTGTTGCAGGTCTCCCTTAAAAAAAGTAGTAGTTTTTGTTAAATAAAGGTTGCATTAAAGAAAAAACACTAGATAGGGTACCCCACCGACTACACAGATAATCTTTAAATTTGAATAAACTGGAATTTGGGAAAGGGCAATCTGTAGTTATTGCCCGCAAAAACACACACACACGGAGATGATTGCACGACCCTACTTGTTGGGTGGATGATCTATATTCCTAAGATTAAAACATAGAATACAGAAATGTAATAGTTTTACAATGGCATCCTACTATTACAGGAGCTTTAAAGCTGTGTTCACAACTTCGTCTTCAAAAGCGTCAGGACTCAACTTCGACTTAAAAAGCGGCAGGTTTGCATTGAAAATGAATGGTAACGTGCGTCAGGTGGGGCCAAGAGGCCCTGTGTCACTCGGCGCGAGTCAAAAGCGCTGAAGTTGAGAAAAGCTGAGCTTTTCGAGCTTGACGCTGGGCGTCAACCAATCAGTAGACGAGAAGAAACAGCAGCAGCAGCGGGTTTGTCATGGAAAGAAGTCATGTAGCTGCTGCTTGGCTGTTTTGTTGGTGTCCATGCGCCTGTAGTTGGTGTCCAGGTGGGCAATGCGAGCTCCCTCAAATAGGTCAAGTGAAATGCGGAAGTACCACTGAAAGCGAAACTCATCCGTATGCAGCTCCTGGAGTAAATGGTGAAACTCTGCAAACACTGCAGCCTCTCAAGTCTGTGGTGAACCCAGACACGTTGTGTAGAAACCCTATGACAGCGTTGTTTGGCTTTATATAACAAATAAATCCTGCTGCTCTCTGGAGATCCATTGTCTCTGGACTAAGGCAACAGAGATGCTCCCCCCAACGGGCGTCAGGCGCGATAGGTGCGTTCGGCATGTCAAGCGCCAAAATGATAAAAATAAATTGCCGTCAAACAACGCGCGTCACAGGAAATTTGAAGCTTTAGGTGTGAACACAGCTTTAAACAGAAGAGGGTGCAGTTACATGTTTGTTCTTAATGGAACAATGTTATAACATGTTTAAAAGCTCAATACAGATACATAATGTCTGAAATAAAAATGTTCTGCCCTGCACAGATTCTGAGGACCCTCCGTCTGTGATCCCCTCGAGCATCGACGACAACATGGACGACTCTGACACGGAGAAGGACTTAGACGGAAAACCCAAGTCCTCAAACTCCAACGTCCCAGGACTCGACGAGTATGAATTCAAGGATGAGGAGGAGGAGGAGGACCTGAGCAAAGCGCTGAACGAACGCCACATACTGCGGCGTGAGCTCCGGCAACGCGAGAAGGAGGATAAGGAGAGGAACCATGTAAAACCGGGAGGAAAAGGTGACAAACCCAAAAAGCAAAAGTCGTCCCATGCACACTGCAGTTCGGACACATCCAGTGACGAAATGGAGAGTCTTCCCGATAAAAGAAACTCACCCACATGCTCGCAAAACTCGGACACTCACAAGAGTGAGTCTAGATCAAAAAAGGACGATCAGAAACTGGGCAAAGTTAAGCGGAAAAGCAAAAGCCGCAATAAAGAAAACCAAGAGGATGGAAAAGAGAATAGCAAAACACTTGTATTGTCACTAGCAGCCGTATCAGAAACATCAGAGAAAATCAGGGAGGAGGACTCGTTCAAAATGTCGTTTAGCCCCAAAGATGATTCTTCTGTACATCTCTTCCACTTTTCATCAATAAAATCACCAAAATTAACCAATCACAATTTGACAGACAAGCAAACACCATTGAAGCAAGAAAATATTGATAAGTACAACCACTGCACGGAATCGGATTACTGCATAGAAGGCTCTAGCAAAGGATGCAAGCATAAGGAAAAAATCAAACATCAGCAAAAGGACACTGTTGAATGTGAAGATGAGCATTCGAGTTCATATAACAAAGATGTCGGCATAGTAAACAGTCTCGATAGTTCAGACGGAGCGCTTAGGAAAACTGACACAGAGGGAAAAGTTGTTAAAAAGCACAAGCTCAAACACAAAGAGAAGGACAAACATAGAAGAGACTACGACAGCAGCAGGCATAAGTTAAAGGAAGCCAGGAAAGATGGCCACCGAAATCTTGAGTTTGATCGTGAATTTTGGAAAGAGAATTTCTTCAAAAGCGACGACACAGAGGACGCAATCAAAAAGGAAGGCGAGGAGCTGAAAATTGCAGACTTGCCGTTGATGAGAGAGGAGCGAAAGCATTCGTCAAGCAAAGAAAAGAGGTCCAAAGAGGAAAAAGAGAGGAAAAAGGAGCGGAAAGAAGAGAAATTTGATGGGCATAGTTCAGCGAGGACTTTGGATGAATCGATCTTGAAAGAAGAGATTGAGGAGAAAGCTGTGACTGCAGATTTAGAGCAGCTCGACGCTTCGGAAAAGCGTGAGAAATCAGACAAGAAAATTGTAATGAAAGAAGGTGAAAAAACTGACAGAAAGTATTTAGACAAAGAGAAAAAAATAAAATCTGAGCATTCCGAGGATCGATGGAAGGAGAGGGATAAAAGCTACAAGGAGAATGAAAAATTAAAATTGTTTTCAATAAAAAGGCATGAAGATTGCAGGAAAAGCAAAGACAAGATGGAGAAAAGGTCAGATCGTGAAAGCACAGGTGAACATAGGGAGCATAGAGACAAGGATCGCAGCAGTTCAGATAGGAAAAATAAGTTGCATGAAAAAAGCAGTGATCATAGCAAATCCGAGCGCTCAAAAGATAAAGATTGCGACAAAAAGAGGAGAGACAAGCCGAAAGAGTCCTCAAACTCATCAAGTTCAAATTTAAAGTTGTTATTAGAAGAGAAAAGGGGTTACATTTCAGAAAGTGGGAAGCTTATATCCGGAAAGCCAAAAGAGGATGCGATGCGAACGCCAGAAAAAGATCGGGATAGACGAGACCGGGATCGCGATTCAGAAAGGCATAAGGAGAGAGACAAAGAGAGGCACAAAGATCGCACACCACTGGCCAAACCGAACAAACCGAAGACCAACGAGAATGATCCAGAGAAGGCTAAACTAAAGGGGTCCCCAGCTACACAAAAAGACTCAAAGCCCAAAGAGAAACGCCTGGTAAATGACGACCTGATGCAGACCAGTTTTGAACGAATGCTTAGCCTGAAAGACCAGGAAATCGAGCAGTGGCATCGGAAACACATGGAGAAAATCAAACAAAAGGAGAGGGAGAGGCTAAAGCAAAGACCAGTAGATTCAAAGCATAAATTAAAAGACAGGACAAAGCCGGATTCGTGTTTGAGCAAGGAGTTGATGAGATCGAAAAGCTCAGATGCGCAAGAAGGAAAGGGGTTAAGGGAAGGACCTACTCAAAGAACAGTCTCACTAGATGGCAAGAATTTACAGTCTATGGGCGCAAAGGTCATGTCCGTTGTTGAGAACTGTTTGACAAGATCGCCAAGACCAGATAACAGTGACCTCTTAATGTCTAGGTCAGTGTCTATGATATCTGTAGCAAGCTCTGAAGATTCGAGTCATGCAACAATATTGACCCCAAAACACCCAGAATATGACTCCGATATGAATTGTGACGCGTCCGATTCCCAATCGGCCTTCCTGCAATCCTCACTGGTCATCCAAGCCACACGATCGCCGTCTATTCACGATAATAGTGGTGGTTTAGATAGCAATCGAGCAACGCTACCGATAAGGCATGAATCACCTTGTTTAAGAGCGATTTTGGACGAGGAGGCTTCCAGTGAACCAAAAATGGTTGAAAATATTCCTATAATTAACGTGACATCAGAAGAGGCGAGGCCCAAAGATGCTCAGACTGAAGGAGACTTGGATTTGAATATGGATACGCAGCTTTTAACTTTTGCACCAGATATCGGTTTGAATAAAGATGCAAGCAATTCACCAAGTAAAGATGTTAGCAGACCTCCAGACACTCAATTGTCAATATCCTTCATTGAACCTCAACCTAGTTCAGTATGTGATGTCCAGAGCTTTGTTGAAAAGTTGGATTGTAAGGATCAAGCTTTGAATGCTCCCGCAGTAGAAAATGTCCCAATAGCATCGTTGACAGAGCCTATAGTAAATGCAGATAAAGTAGAGTTTGCTGAACAGAAAGACAAGGCGGTAGATAGAGGTGACAGAAAGGACCATTTAGAAGACAATTCTGAAACCATAATTTCAAGTGCTAACTCTATTGCTGCCTATATGCCATCTAAAAGTAATGCTAACATTCCTGCATCCACTCCAGTCGAATCTTTGCCTGGATTTTGCGACGACACGATAGAAGATTTGGACGTAGACATAAATGACAATAAAAAATCCAAAATATCTCTTGAAGCAGCTGTAGATGTTGAGGAGAAAATTGTGGTTCCAAGTGAAGACACAAGACAACAAGTTGTCAGTGAAGTTGAGGGGAATTTGGAGAAAACTATAGAAGATTTGGGTATATCCAAATCAGACGATGTTGAACTGATGGATGTAGAAACCCTGGAGGAAAAGACTGAAACACAAACGACCTCTGAGGACCAGCAATTAACCCAAAATGTAGCAGACTCTAGCAGCAGTAGTACCACTTCTGGCAGCTCCTCACCTCAATCTGGTGAGTCAGATTCCAGCAGGACAAAATCACGAAGCTCTGATGAAGAAATTGACCTCAATGTCCAACATCCGCGTAAGAGAAAAATGCCCAAAATGCCGACGTCACATTCTGGCAACCCGCATGACAAGGAGCAGGGGCAGCAGTCTTTGGCGGCCATTGTGGATGCGGTGAAGCTGGAGGAGATTGAGCCCTATCAAACGGAGCGCGCAAATCCGTACTACGAATTTCTACACATCAGGAGGAAGATTGAGGAGAAGCGTAAAGTGTTGTGCAGCGTGATTCCGCAGCCGCCGCAGTATTACGATGAGTATGTGACATTCAATGGGTCCTACCTCCTCGATGGGAATCCTCTCAGCAAGCTCTGCATTCCCACTGTGAGTATGTGTGTTATGGTGAAATATGTGCGTCTGTGTGTGTATCTATCTCTCTCTCTCTCTCTCTCTCTCTCTCTCTGTCTTTCACTAGTTTTCACATGCATCCCTTTTTGGCCTCTTCCACATGTCAGAGAGATACAGTTTTGAGGTTGAGGAACTAGATAAATGGACTAAAGGGATTTTATCACAAATCTAACTAGCAAATTTTGTGGCTGGGCTGCAGTCATTTAGATTAACTTTACAAATAGCAAATAATTTTTTGCATAATATGAAGTAGTAATATAAGATTCTTTATTGGTCCCACAGTGGGGAAATTTAAATGGTCACTACAATGGTCAGATTAAGGCTTATAATAAGGTACTATTTTAGTATCTGGATTTGTTTCTCAGTGATTTTTTCCCAGACGCATTTTTTTTAAATATTGTGGGAAAACGTCCCTAAACCCCAAAAGTAGTCAAGTTATCATGTGTTTTCAAATAGTATTGGAATTGACCTGAGTTATCGGATTTTTTAAAACCCTAAAATAGCTGAACAGAAAATGCCAATTTCAAGTTTGCCACCCACTCTCCCTGTTGTGTTCGGTGGAGAGTAGGGCTGGGATTAACGGTTAAAAAAAAAATTCAGTCCGATTCAATTTTGATTTGATTATCTTCCTATGTATTGACTAATATCTATTTACATATCTGAATGAAAAAACATGAATTCCTCAACAAAAATGTATTGCTCTTAAAATTCAAAAAATAAGACATTCTTAGTCAGAGGTAGCATAAAACCTTGAAGCCTTGAAAATACATCTTGCTTACTGAAAAACGTGCATCTTATTATTTTTCTTTCAGATGAAAATAACACTTGATGTTTAGCATTCAATAAAAAAAAAAAAAAGAAGTTCACCCAAAATATTTTAGAGCAACTGAAAGAACAGTGTTGTGCCAGTTCACAGCTTTTCTGAACTAGTTCAAGTTCAGTTCATACATGCTCAAAGTGAACAGTTCACGTTCAAAGTTCACATTTTTAATTCTGAACTAGTTCAAAGTTCTGTTCATTTTACCTTTTTCGTGAGATATTTAAATATTTTTTTCACACTACGAGCTAGAAATCACATCCATCTATCTATCTATAAATATATATATATATATATATATATATATATTCTGTACACCGCACAGGATGAGAGCCTTTTGACTCTAAAGCCTAGCGTACATCGACAGAGAAACTGGGGACAACTAGTTGCAAGGCGGCTTTTGGCAACTGAGAGGAGATGGTGGGAGATGATCAGTTGCCGAAATCGGTCGATGTGCGCGCTCTTACAACTGGAGAGGATCAGTCGGTCTCCAGTTTCAGTCAGTTGCCCGTGTTCTACTTTTCGGCAACTAGTTTCGGAGATATGACCCGATGTGCGCGCTCCATGCGCCGCTCCGACAACGTGTGTGTATTGCGTGTGTTGCGAGCCCGCAACAGTTTATGTCAGAAAACACACTGTAGTTGAGGCCAGTTGCTGTCGATGTACGCGCTGTTATTCCCGAGACTGGTCTGCTACTGGGAGTTGCCTGTTTTCGTCAGATTGTCGATGTGTGCGGGGCAGCAACTCATATGCGACGGATATAATCAGTTGCCAGTCCGATGTACGCTAGGCTTTAAACAGACGACAAGATTTACATTGGGAGGAAAAAACTGAGTTTCCACTGCTCATAAGTATTACAACAGTAATGCGCTGCAGTGCGTGTGTCTATACTTTATGTCAAATGTAAACTGGTGGTCCTGTGTCGCTAACTCACCCTGTGTTATCACGACTCGGGCACATGCGAGTCCAACAACCAAAGAAAAGCATTAGCATACAGCGCAGCACCGACTGGCTCAGCACGGAGTTGGGGTGCGTTCACAGACGGTGAAAACCGTGGGAATTTTTTGTTTTTTCGCGAAAAAAAGTGCGGAGAATACAGGAGGGAGGAACTTTCTCTCGTTGCGTTTCAAAAGAGAAAACAAATTCCAACGTTCCTAGAGATGTCTGCCGTTCATGACACATAATATGAACTAATTCATGTTCAAGTTCTTTATTAAAAAATGTGTTGCGTTCAGTTCAACGTTCACAAAAAAATGTGCGTGCTCTAGAGCTGAAACAACTAATCGATTTAATCGATTAAAATCAATTATTAAAATAGTTGTCAACTAATTTAGTCATCGATTAGTTGCTAAGTAACTTTTATTTTGCCGTAAGCGGCTCATTTCGTGCATATTTTAACTCTGCGGTGACCAAATGTTGGCAGTAATGAGCCACCGGAGGTTTTACAGCAGGAGAAATAGCGAATAGCCAATAGCTGGCCTCCTTTTATGTCACATGCTTCGCGCACAGCTTCTCTTCAGCATACAGCGAGATGGCGGAGGCAAGCGGCAGTGGAGTAAGCTCGAGAAAGAAAAGGAAAAAAGCAGAAGACAAACCTAATCGAACAAAGTCATCCAAAGTGTGGGAGCACTTTACTTTGAACCTTCAAAAAAGAAGAGTAACCTGTAAACTCTGCGCTACTGACTTGGCCTGGCACGGGAGTACTACGTCTTTGCGTGAGCACCTTAAACGAAAGCACGTGTGTGTGGAAGCAGAGCATCGCTCTGCAGTACTGACTGTTTGCAAAAGATGGCGCCACACTCACTGTTTTAGTGAGTTGATCTTTCAACTAATTTGCACAAAGATGTAAAAAAAAAAAACATTTATCCAGTTTATCAACTTAAATAAGCCTTGTTCGGGATTTTAAACTACTTCAGAAGCCCTAAGGATTTTCATGGTGAAAACATTATTGGAAATCTCCTTGTGAAATTTGCCAGAGTATGTAACGGTCAGTGTTTTGTTTTGATGGTCGATATTGAGTTCAACAAAGGATTACAAAGACATAATAAACAGCTCCAGATATGTTTTTGATGTGGATATGAATGTAAAAAATGGTTAAAATCTCTAAAAAGTCTATGTTGAATGATGAAGGCCCTTTGTTAACAATTTACTTGGAAAAAAAATTGGCTAAACTAAAATATAAGTACATAAACCGATTAATTAAGATGGCTGACGCAGCAGCACTGTCTGAGTGAGCTGCCTAAATCTCAGTCTGCTTAAAACTTACTTAAGCCTTCATTATCTCTCTTTTTATACACATCTCTGATTACCTGTTTGACTGTGTATTTAAACTTTTTGACGAGGACTTTTTTGTTCGCCTATTGAGTTCTCAGAGTCAAAACCTGTCTGAGTCATCAGGGTCTACCTCAACCGCAGGTATATTTCCACCACCATGAATCAAGCTGCAGCTTCAAACACCTTCATTTTGAACGCTTTGCAACAGCTTAAGAATGAAATCACGGCCCATATCGACCCTAAACTTGAAAATCTACAAGGATCTTCAATCTTCAATCAAGTTTCTTGGGAAACAGGTGGCTGAGCTGGATTGTAGAGTCGGCTCAAATCATGATCATATATCTGATCTGGAGAGGCGTGTACTAACCTTGGAGAAGCAAAACACGTACTTGCTGGACAAGACTGAGGACTTAGAAAATCGGAGCCGTTCATCAAATCTCCGTTTCCTTCACGTTCCAGAGGGATCCGAAGACCAAGACACTCTTGGCTTTATTGAACGTCTGATCATAAAACTTTTTGGTGCTGATAACTTCCCGACTCCTCCACCCATGGAACGGGCTCACCGCACCCCAGGGGGAGCCCCCAGGGGGAGCCCCCAGGCAAGGTCCAAAGACGGTCCCGAGACCCATACTGGTGAAGTTTCTACGTTTCCAGGATAAAGTCAAGATCCTTCGATTATCCCGTGAGAAAAAGGAGCTTGTCCTCAAGGGATCTAGAATCCATATTTATCCGGACTTTAGTGCTGGTTGATGCATAAACGCCGCATGTTTGACTCGGTGAAGAAAAAGCTCAGTGACTTGAGCATCCGCTATGCCAGGCTGTATCCAGCCGTTCTTCGGGTCAACATTCGCGGTAAGGATGTACTTTGCAAGTCCCCTGAAGAAGTTGAAGCCCTCGGTGTCTTTAAGTAATTGTCCCATGTGGCAGATGTTATAACTTTGTTTTCTTCCATGCTGCACCCGAGGGTACGCGACTGTATTATTTGCCGTAAACCGTTTATTTACGTCATAAACGTACGGTGAGAGTGGCAAAATGAGATGCGTAATACTATTTTCTTTTCTTTTCTGGAACGCTTTGAATCTTTACTTTTTTAGAAAGGACATATAGTATGTTACTCTTTGCTCATGGCCATTGTTTCATTAATGCAATTGTACATAATTAAATTTTGCAAAGTAATTATTAGTAAATCCTTTCTTTAACTAAAACTGCAGACTGAGATCGCAACTTTGTTTTATTTTTCTAAATGTTTTTGTATTACCTTTGCTTGTGTGTGAGTGAGACCGTTTGTGTGTGTGGACTCTCATGTTATCTCTCCTCCGCCCCACCTTTTCGCTCTCTCCTCCTCTTGTTCGGCATTGATGTTATTATTACTCCTACTTTAAACCAGTATGGGTAAAGGTCTCCAGATTGTTCACCTGAACATCCGAAGCCTTCTTCCTAAAATTGATCATTTAAGAGCTTGGATTGCTTACAATCATCCATCTATTATTACTTTGTCTGAAACGTGGCTCTCCAAAAGTGTTACTGATAATGATATTAGGCTTGACAATTACACACTGTATAGAGCCGATAGGCGTTCAAGAGGAGGTGGAGTTGCAACTTATGTTTCTTCTCACCTTAAATCTCAACTCACTGTCCCATCTGATCCACCAACACTTTATGAAGGTCTATTTATAACTGTTACTTTACATGAACACAAACAATGAACTGTTGGAACTATTTATAGACCCCCAAATTCCCCAAAATCGAAATCACTTAAAAATATACTCTCCACTCTTTCCTCTTTAAATAGTAATAATAATAATGAGCTAATATTAATGGGTGACTTCAATATCAACTGGCTTGACTCATCCACATTTACTGAAAGGAATATGTTTGACTCTGT